ATGTGGGATCCGAACCCTCGGCGGGAGCGCCACCGCACTTCCCAAGCGGTGCACTGTAGCAGTGCGCCACTGGGCCGGCCCCAGATGAATAGTTTTTGAAATGGATAGTGGTGACAGTTGTACAACATTGTGAATGGACATAATGCCATGAATTCGGGCCAACCCCATGGCGCACTCAGGCAAGTGCAGCACTGGGAGCGCAGCAGCACTCCCGCCGTGGGTTCGGATCCTATATAGGGATGGCCCCAGTGCACTCACTGGCTGAGCGTGGTGCGGCCGTTCACAAAAAAGGACAAAAAATAAAAATAAAATAAATAACTATAATGAATTTTATACTCCACTGTACTCATTGCAATATTACTTATAAGAGACAAAAAAGAAAAAATTTTGAATAACCTAAATTCTAAAAGCTAGGAGAATGGTGAAATAGTAGACTATCCACTTGGAATATTATACAGCTGTTAAAAATGATAGCCAAAAAAACTTACAACAAATGTTTATGATAAAAATCGTAAGTATGTAACATAAAAGATTGTGTGTGCTATTTTAATGATGTAAAAAAAAACTAATAGATATAGACATTAAAGGAAATGCCCCAAAACATTAACAATAATTTTAGTAAGGTGATAAGATGACAGTAGATTTTTCCTTTTTTTCTTCTATTTGCCAAATTTGTTTCATGAACGTATACTTCTATAATAGAAAAATAAGCATTAAAATTTATCGTAATTTAATCCTAACCTTTTAATTCTGAGGAGCGGTTACATGTTATTCATTAAATTGTTCTCTTTATTTTTTGTTTTGTTTTCAAATAAGTTAATTTTGTAAAGATAAGCTGGACAGTCATTGTTGGGTGTTTCTTCAAATTTTCTTCAGCCCATTGCTTTCCAAAGTATAATTCATAGAAGACTGGTTCAGTGTGTACTAATTGGTATTATACTCATAGAAAAAGAGGGCTCTAAGGCAGAAGCATTCTAGGTAGGCAAAGCAAACAGCTTGTGCAAAAGGCCTTGAGGTGAAAAAGAGCTTAGATTCTAAGTGAGAATAGTGATAGTAGAGAATTACGCAGAGTCCACAGAAGTCCTTATTAGGCTATGTTAAAGGATTGGACTTTTTCATGAGGGCAATCGGAAGTTATAAAAAGTTTTGAAAAGTCAACTAATGACATATTTCCCTTTAGAAAAAAAAACATTTTCATCCTTATAAGAACCCTGTGAGGCAAGTAAAGAAGATGGGTTATTACCATTTAATACGTGAACAAAATGAGTAAGGCCTGGAGTTATACAATGCTTGCAAATCACAAAGCCAGGACTTAAAAACTCAGGACTTCTAATTACAAAACAAAAGACCTGTGCGATTCTATTTTATATTTTGCTATTTCTAAATGAACATATTTGTCTTCTGATGTCTTGGAAATGAAGATGGTGTTTATGGGGAGACAACAGAGGTTCGTTAAATTCATGCTAGATTAAGCATATTATTCTGGAGCAGAACAGAAATGATTCCCAGTTGTGTGTGCAGAGTACATATGAACAAGGGCGACTCTAGCCATTGTCTCCTGCACCTACTCAGCCCCCTGCTCCCCGTTAACCACTGATTTGCTCTTGTTGTCCTCATAAGCATCCCAGGTCTCCACAGCATATTTTCCCTCCACCTAGGATTGAGCTGGTCCTGACTCAGCCTTAGCTGTCTAGAGGCAGCTCCTCAGCACTTGGCTTAGCTCATGCTCACTGTTCCTGCATGCAACCCTATGCCAGGAGGCAGCTGTCACTATGAGAGAGGCCAGCATTAAGGCCACCCACCACAGTCAGTACCTCAGTGGGTGAGGTTCACATAGTGTGAAGCTCACTAGCCCTTTAGGACAATTTCACACTTGCCCTGTGGGCAAACAGCCCCTATCCAGCATCCCTTCTCTATCCCCTTTCCTGTCCTTTTAAGGCTTTCTCCTCTGTGTCCTCAAGCTCTGCTTAGTACCCCAGCAGCCCTCAGAGGTTAAAGTGAATGAGATCAGGGAATCCTAACCTGTTCACCAAGAAGGGACCACGTTTATTACCTACCTACTCCCTACAGGTTCCTATTCTGAAATATGTTAATTATCAAAAACATTTTTATTTAATAAGAAATTCCATTCTACATTCTTATTATACAGAAGTATATTTCCCTGCCAGCTAATGATTAGCATGAGCTGGAATAAAAACATCAAAAGCAAAAGAAATGATATTTTCATTAGCTCAGGCAGCCTTATTGCAGATAAAGGTGTTCTCTTCATCAGCATTTCTTTGAAATATTGAAAAGGGTTGATGGGCTGCTTTGACTGCCTTTGGGCACCTCTAGGGGTGGGAAGCTCCTGCTTTGGTACCTGCACTTGTGCCCCCACCCTAGCCTTGGTGCTTTCCTGGTTCAGGAGACTCAGGACAGGACCAGGTCTGAAACCTTGGGCTAATTCCACAGCCATCATGAATCCATATAAGACAGAATTCTCTTGAGAATAACAGGCCCAGCAGATGGTCTCAGGACCCCACTCCTCTGGGTGAGTAGGCATTTTCCACAGAGGCTCTGAGTCTTTTGCCCTGGGGACCATTCCCATGACTTGGGAGTCTTGAAGGTGAGTTATCGTCCACTCCAGGCCAGTGTTGCTGAGTGCACAGGAGCTGCTCTGTAAAAGTAACCTGAGACACTGGAGAGGCTGCAAGGTGTGATGTGCAGCAGGAAAAGGCTCTAAGCCACTGGCAAGGAGCCCAGCCTGGCTACAAAGGGTGGGGATCTAGAAGGGAAGAACAAGAGGGGCTCATCTTGGCCTTGTCACCAAGCTCGCAGAGCACAGGGCCCCAGGGGCTGTGCAAGAGAGACATGGGAAAGCAACACCTGTGAAGCCCCAGGGTGGGGCCCACAGGCTCCTGGGAGACTCTCTGGAGAGGGCTTCAGAACAAATCCAGGGAAGAACCAGTGAACAGAGGGGTTTATAAAAAGCAAAATGGGAAGTAGCTAAAGCCTAGCTAAGGCTTAATTCTGTGCAGAGAGAGCTGAACTGTAGTTACTGGCACCTGTGTAGTAAAGAATCTAATCTTGCCCCCAAAAGATGTTTCCTTGGACCTCAACCTCTGGGAGGTGTTCTCTAAGATGCCACACATGATAGGAATGTCTTTCTGCCTGGAGGCTTTGACCCACACCAACAATAGGATTTAGAATGAGGACTGGCCATGCCAAATAGACCAACCATGTGGTTTAAGGTCGGAGCTTTAGGTCATGGCCATTAGGGCTGGAGACTAGAGACTAGCTCAGCCCTGTGGGCACTCACTCAATCACACACTCTTGGTAGAGTCCCAATAAAAACTCTGAACAGTGGGGTCATGTGAGCTTCCCTGGTTGTCACACATTGATGCCAGGAGAGTGACATGTCCTGACTCCACAAGGAGAAGATAATGGGGGCTCTGCACTTGGGCCCCTCCTGGTGTTAATCTGTGTTGTTTCCCTGTAATAAACTGTAACCATGAGCATGGCAGCTTTCAGTGAGCAGTGGGGGTCCTAGCAAATGACCAAACTGGAGGATGGTTTGGGGAACCCCAAACTTGCAGTTGGTGTCAGAAGTGAGGGCAGTCTTTTGTGGACAGTACCCTATAAAGTTAGCAGTATCTTTTCAATAGGGTAGACTTGTTTATTGAGGGGTCTCTTATGTGCCCATCTCTCTTTTGTCTTGTAGTGTTCCACTGGCAGGCCACCATCATGGGCCCGGTAGGTAGCAGCAGCTGAGCACACCACCCCAGTGTTGCTTCTTGTACTTTGCACTGAGCACGTGCACTGATCTCTTTCTCTGTCTTGTCCTTCCAGAATGACAGTCCTTACCAAGGAGGCATTTTCTTCCTGTCCATCCACTTTCCTACGGATTACCCTTTCAAGCCCCCAAAGGTGAGGCTCCCCAAACTCCCCTGACATTTGGACAAAGGACAACCTATGATGAAGGGGCCTTTTCAAATCACTCATGAGGAGAGCTGTAGGTCGGCTTCTCCTGAGGCTCTGTCACTCTACCTCCCTGGTTACAGCTTTCCAGGACTTAAAACTGGACTTGCGGAATTAATCCCTGTTGTGAGCACGGGCCAGTGTAGTGAACTGGGTGTCTTACTGATGCCGCAGTTTTAATGATGCTCCTCGTGGCTGCGGCTGAATGTTGTCATGTCTTCAGGCTCCGGTTCCCTTCTTCCCAGACCCTTACTTAGCTTCTAGGACAGGGGTTCTTAGCTGGGGTGATTTTGCCCCTGCACCAGGGACATTTGGGCAACATCCTGGGATATTTTGAGTTGTCAAAACTGGGGAGAGAGGCTTCTACTTGTATTTAGTGGGTGAAGGCCAGGGAATCTGCTCAACACCCTACATTGCACAGGACAGCCTCCGTCCCATTACGGGACAGTCCAGCCCCAAATGTCATAGTACCAAGGTGGAGACACCCTAGTCTAGGACCCTGGAAAATCAGTATTTAGTGGGTGAAGGCCAGGGAATCTGCTCAACACCCTACATTGCACAGGACAGCCTCCGTCCCATTACGGGACAATCCAGCCCCAAATGTCATAGTACCAAGGTGGAGACACCCTAGTCTAGGACCCTGGAAAATCATTTCTCAATTTCCTTTATTAAGTTAAAAGAACAGCAGGCCTTCCTTTGTCCTTCACAAACACACCATTCCTGCTGGTGGAGCCTCAAGAACAGCGCCACCCAGGGAGAGAGAGGCCTGGTGGAGCTGCCTCGACCCCCTGCCCCAGTGCATCCAGTGTGTGCTAGGATGTCTTGTCTTGGGTCATATTGCTTCTGGAATTGACCTCGTACCAGTGCTCATACCAGGGCTGCCTGCAGTCACTCACCTGGGCTCCATGTGCAAAGCCTGCTCTCTCAAGGCCCACAGTCCTGTGGAGGAGGCTCAAGAACAGCGCCACCTAGGGAGAGAGAGGCCTGGTGGAGCTGCCTCGACCCCCTGCCCCAGTACATCCAGTGTGTGCTAGGATGTCTTGTCTTGGGTCATATTGCTTCTGGAATTGACCTCGTACCAGTGCTCATACCAGGGCTGCCTGCAGTCACTCACCTGGGCTCCATGTGCAAAGCCTGCTCTCTCAAGGCCCACAGTCCTGTGGAGGAGACAGAAAACATTTAGTGCATCAGTTCATCAGTGTCAAGGAGAAGCACTACCAGTGCTTGGCAGCAGGAGCCAGGGTGGCCAGGGAGGTCGCCCTGAGGAGGGGGCTCTGCAGAGGCTCAAGCCCAGCCATACCCGGGAGGGGTCCACAGGGAACCACCTGGGGGAGTGAGGCCATGTGCAGGAAGAATCCCTGGGGTTGGGAAGGAGGCCAGAAAGTTACAGTCTGAGTAGTGGGATCTACATGGGCATGGGTGGGCATCAACTGGGAGACTGACAGGAGTGAGTCAGTGGGATCCACATGACAACAGGATCACTCGTTGCTGTGTGGAGAACAAGCTCAGTGGTGATGGTACATCCAGTGGCATGGAGGTGGGGAGAAGCACAGATTCTGAGGTATTAGAAGGTGGAGCCAACAGGAGGGGCTGCAGGTCAGACGTGGTGACACAACAGTGTGTATGGGACTCACATCTTTTTTTTTTTTTGTGGCTGCTGGTGCAGGGATTTGAGCTCTTGGATTCACATCACTTTTACCAACTTTTTTTTTCTGATTGCAAAACTTGTAAAAGTTATTTTTATTCATTTTTTTGGTGAACTGGCCAGTTCGGGGATGTGAATCCTTGATTCTGGTGTCACCAACACCATGCTCTAACCAAATAAGCTAACCAGCCAGCCAAAAGTTTATTATTTTTAAATTAGACACTTAAATGTGCAGATGGAAGTCAGTCTGCTGTAGACCCAGAGAAGACCACAGCTAACAGCCTAGTACCCATCACTTCACCTTTTTTTCCTGCATATACCAATATGTATTTTTATTCTCATTTTGAAATAAAAATATCAATTTTGTTTTATGAATGAGGATACAGTGTTCCTGAGGATGACGTGACTCATGGTGGAGGGGGCACTTGAACCCAGATGTGTCAGCCTTTTTGAGAAAACTATCTCAAATAATTTTAGACTTAGAAAAAAGTTGCAAGGGCCGGCCTGGTGGCGCACTGGATAGTGCGCCGCTCGGGAAGCGCGGCGGCGCTCCCGCCCGAGGGTTCGGATCCCACATACAGACCGGTTCCTGCTCACTGGCTGAGTGAGGCGCGGGAGCGGCACCGGGGGTTGCGGTCCCATTGCCGGTCCTGGTCCGGTGCGGGGACAACACTGAGGGTTGCGATCCGTTGCCGGACACGGAAAAAGACAAAAAAAAAAAAAGAAAAAAGTTGCAAGGGCCGGCCTGGTGGCGCACTGGATAGNTCCCGGTCCGGTGCGGGGGCGACACTGAGGGTTGCGATCCGTTGCCAGACACGGAAAAAAACAAAAACAAAAAAAGAAAAAAGTTGCAAAATAGTGTCAAGATTCTCATTATTCCTCGTCCAGCTTTCCATGATGTGTGCATCTTACACTGGTCATGATACTGTGAACTAAAGACCTCATTCAAATGTTACCAGTTTCCACTAATGTCTCCCTTGTGTTCCAGGACCCAGCACTTGTTTGTTGCCATGTCTCCCTCATTGTCACGATATATAATGGTGCCTCAGTTTCTCTTTTATGACCTTGATGATTTGAGGAGTACTGATCAATTACGTTGTCAAATGTCCCTCATTTTGGGTTTATGTGATATTTTCTCAGGATTGGACTAAGGTTATGCATTTTGGCATGACATGCTCAGAAGTCCTGAGGGGCCGACCCGTGGCTCACTTGGGAGAGCGTGGTGCTGACAACACCAAGTCAAGGGTTAAGATCCCCTTACAGGTAATCTTTTAAAAAAAAAAAAAAAAGTCCTGAGTCCATGTCAGAGCACCACAGCACAAGAGACTGTGGTGTCACTGTGTCTTACCGCCGGAGTTGGCCTCAATGGCTCGGTTTGAGTCAGACTCATAACCACCGTTTTACATGTTCATCCGAGCCGGTGTGAAGTCCCTGCCAGGCTCACCAGCCACAGCTCTGTCCAGGCATTGCTACC